ACCTGCCTGCCTTGTTCCTGGTGTTCTGATTTCAGGTGGGCTGTGTGGGCTGTCAGCTGACCATGGGAATGGGGAGAATACTCTCTGTAGCTGCTCTCCCTCCAACCTGCTGCAATGGTGGGGGCGCAGGCAAGCAGCACCAGCACATGCCAGGAGGAAAGAGCTCCCAGGACTGGGCTGCACATGTGTGCCAGGCTGCAGGGCTTGAGCTGCCCTCCATGTGGCCTACTGAGATGGCAGGGGGTGCTGGTAAACAGGACTGGTGCCTGCCAGGAGGAAAGAGCCTCCCGGTGCTGGCTCTTGCACACATCTCCCCAGCTGGCCCAAAATAGGGTTCAGCAGGCTGGGGGTTCTCCCTCTGCCTAATTGAGAGTAAAGTTTGATTTCACTGCCAGCCGGCAGGCCATGCACCACTGTGAGAACTCTCCACGCTGTGTTGCCAGTGAGGGGGATGGAGCGTCTGAAGCTCCTGAGGGCTCCCAACCTGTTAGGCTGAGGGCAGGCTGGGAAGTATTGTCCACCTGACTTTTCCCCTCAACAGAGAGCACTGTGCACTCCTTTCCCCTCTGGTGCCCCCTCACTGCTGTGAAGTCTTTCAAACTGCCCGCTCTGCTTTCTTTCTCAGGGAGTCCAGTAGAGTGTGTGCCTATACTCCACAGGCAGCTGGGAACTGAGCCTCCCGGAGTGTTCTGCCCGTCTCTGCTGTCCAGCCCCACCAGTTACCAGGGCACCAGGCAATGTGGGCTCATGTTTCCAGGGCAGATGTCCACGGTCATGTGTTCAGTGGTCCTGGGCTTCTATTCCCTCCCCTCTCCATTCATCTTCCTCCCACCTGTGGGCTGGGGTCTGGGGAGTGCTTGGGTCCTGCTGGATCATGACTTTGTCACTTTATACTTTTCTGTTGGGTCTTCTCTTCTTCCCGAGCTGTAGGTGGTCAATTCTGCAGTCTTCAGGTTGATTTCAGGGCTACCTGTATTTGTCGTATTTTTGTGTTCTATGTGATTTGGGGAGGAGGTTTTTGCCTTGTCTTCCTACATTGCCATCTTTTTTCCCCCAGAATCCTCTTCATTTTCTTTTAATGACCTGGTCTTGCTGCCAAAAGCATGCCCACACATTCTCCATGGAGATGCACTCAGGCACCTGCTGCCTGTGGTTTGGCATCCTCCCTGCATCTCTGTGGCCCCCAGGCTCTCACAAACACTCTTTTCGTCATGTCTCATATTCCACCTTAGCTTCACGCAGCGACAGGGCAGCGCAAAACTTTGACACTCTCCCCCAGGCCACCGCAGCAGGACAGGCTTCCCCAGGCACCCCCACTCTAACTGACAGGGGGGCTTCCTCCCGGCCAGACCTAGTGCTCCCCTTCTGATCTCACAGAACTATCTGCCATGCACTGGACCTTCCAGATCGTCATCTCTGAAGACCTACTGTCTTTGGGCCTCTTCAATTCTATCATTACAAAAAAAACAAAAAACCCTGACCTAAATCTTTAATTTAAAATAGTTTGATTTACAGAAAAGTTGCAAAGACAGAACAGAGAGTTCCTCAAATACTCCATACCTAGGCTTCCCAACCATTAATGCCTTGCATTACTAGTACAGGTCACACCGGTAAATCAAGGTTGACATGTTATTAACAAGTCTGTATTTTGTTCAGATTCTTTTAGTTTTTCTCTAAAAGTATTTTGTGTTTCAGGATCCAATATATTCATTACATCTCCTTAGGCTCCGCTTGCCTGTGTCAATTTCTCAGATTTTCCTTGTTTTTTATGCTCTTCATATTTTGAGGAGTACTGATTTGGTATTTTGCAAAAATGTCACTCAACTGGGAATTATGTTTTTCTCATGATTACACTGGAGTTACGGGTTTTGGGATGAAGCCAACAGAGGTGAAGTGCCTTCTCAGCAGTTCATACCAAGGGTACATGCCATCAACACGAGTCAGCACTGCGGATGGTGACCCTGGTCAGCTGGCTGAGGCGGAGTCTTCCAGGTTTCTCCCCATACCCTCTTATATTGTACTCTTTAGAAATAAGTCACTAAGTAGAGTCCATACTTCAGAGGTGGGATTTTATGCTCTGCCTCTTCAATGCTGTATTTACACAAAATGTTTGGAATTCTTGTATGGGGGATTAATCACTTCTCTTCCATATATTTATTTAGTCATTTATATTAGTATGAACTCATGGCTATTTATTTTACACTGTGGGTTATATTCTAAAAGTATGTCATTCACATGTTGCTCAAATTGTTTTAACTTTTGCAGTGTTGGCTCCTGTGATGCTTTGACAAACCCCCACTGTTTGGCTTCTTTAGGGCATTAAAAGATGCTCTAAGAGGCTCCTTTTATATTTTCCCTCTCCTCACTAAAATAAGCCCTTTTCCCAAGTTTCCTGGCTGCTTTTATTGAAAAATTATATCAGAAACCAAGATCTGGGCACTGTGTTCATTACAGAATTTTAATGCTGGTAGTGATTTTATAATATATGAAATAAAACAACATTTCTCTTTCCTTTTTCATTTAAAAAACATGCAAGTTTCCTCAAACTGGTTTTGAGGAATCAGGCAAAAACTTCCTCCCAAAATCACATAGGACACGAAAATACAGCAAATACTTAAAATCAACATTCTCCAAACAATTCATCCTCTTCCCCCTCAAACATGAAACTCTCTGTGACTGACATCCCTCATGGCCTAGGACAGAAAACCAAGGGAGCCCTTCTTTCTCCATGGTCTTCTTTCCCCAAATTTAACGGCCAGCTGGTCACACAGACTCTGACTCTGGTTATCTCCAACTCCGACTGCCCCTGTGTCCACAACACAGCCTCATTCTTTCTCAAATGGAAGGAAAGATGTAATGGTTTCTGGGTTCGCTGCTTCCATTGTTAACCTTATTTAATAAAATTCCAATCTCATGAATATGGAATTCTCAAACACAACTCTCCTCGTATCATTGTTTGCTTAACACAGTTAAATGAGTCAGCAATGCTAAAGGACCAAGACCCAGTCCCTACTACACACACACACACACACACACACACACACCCCTTTCTCCCCATCTTAAGCAAAGCCTTCTATGACCTGGCGGTTATCTAGCAGTTATCTCATTGTCCATGCTCCCGTGCCTTCGCAAATGCTGCTCTTCTGGACTGGGTCAGCTCCCGCGCAGCAGCCCCACCTACCCACATTCCTTCTTCAAGACTCAGGGTAGACAGTATCTCCTCATCAACAATCTCAGATGTCAAGTACCACCCTCCACCACACACCCTCTAGATACTTCTACTTCCATTCCCAGGGCATTGTTCTATAGCTTGGCTTACATGTCTGCTAGTTGTAAGCTTCCAAAGGGTGAAAAGCTTATATTATTAATTATTGAATCTCCAGCACTCAGCTGCCAATGACTCAGCAGATGGTCTATATTTGTTAAATGAACTACTGAAGGAAGAAATAAATGAACAATGGAACAGATATCAGCCAAATAGGTAAAACTAATCCTATTTTTCCTGAACCTACCTGTGAACTGAGGACAAACCCAGTATTCACCTAAGCCAAGACCTTCAATGGTCCTCAGATTCTGGTAATTTATATTTTAAGCAGTAAGAAGAGCCTTTCAGGCTGAAGAATGTGGTAATCAGTGACTACTAGTTGTTTGGTTTTTTTTATGATGTTAATGTTATCCTTACTTCTCTGTTATCAACTGAAGGGCAGGGAAAATTCTACATGAAATAATCCTGCCTAGTAAGATACCCTAGTGGATCTCTACAATTTTTCACTCAACTTCAGTCAATTCCCCTTTTTCCTGCCCAACCTGTTCAGAGGCACAACATAACACAACAGAGACCCATAAAGCTACCCATGGTGACATACCATCACCAACGCTGAATGTCTTATGTGCTGCACACTGCCACGGGCCTTGCTGCACCAATGCAACACTCTTAGAAGCTTTCAGCACGCTGAGACAAGGCAGGCAGTCCAGGTGGTACTATCTCACTTGACACAACTTGTCACGGAGGATGTTTGTATAGATACAAAAAATGAAACTATCATTCCTACCATTACCAGTTACTATTTCAAATAATTGTACTTACTTTGTAACTAATTTCTAAAAATATTTATTCCTACTTCTATTTTTAAATGAACATACCTCCCCTGCAAAAGCTTATTTTCAAAATGGTGGGGTATTACGCGTCACAGTATGACAGCAGTAGAGCTGATCTAGAAAGTCCAAGTAAAATCTAAAGCCACTTTGGTTTTCCATTACAGCACAGCAGCTATGGACAAGCTTTCCCTTTATTTTGCCATATATACTTTAAAATACCCCAAGAATATCAGTAATAATACAGCCAGAAAAGTAAGTATTGGAAAAATGTTGTACTGCTGCTAATGAAAATAAAACTGACCTTTACTAGGATATAATAAATACCAGCTATCTTCTGCTGAATTAATTATCAAAAAAGATCAAAGTGTAAAACTTCTAGCCGCCTGAAACGAACTCCAGTGTGGCATATATGTATTTAACACAATCTAAGTCTAAAACACAAATTAATGTCATTATCAGAAAAATTTTTAGTTATTCAAAATTTTCTAACACATGAGCAACAAACTAATTCACAAATCTCCACTTCTGAAAAAAATCCTCAGTAAACATATGCAGAGAACACAGGTAATAATTTAAAGGTAATTTTAGCATTCAATGTACATCAGAAACAAAATTTCACCCCAATACAATTAAACCTACAAAGACAAAAAGGTTATTACATATCTCATGCCAGAGATGTTACTAGCATTAAGACATTATCAAAAAATATATTGTTTGCTAACACAATTAACGTCATTAAGAATTCTCTTAATAAGACTTTTTTTCCAAACATAAAAGCTTTAGAAACATAGTACTCCAGATTTAATATCTAACTTTACATGAAGATGAACTAAGAAAAGTCCCGTTTGAAGATGACTGAACTCTGAGCGTGTGCAGGTATAGCTTGGTCATGAAATACTTACTCTAATACTTCATAGTTGGACTTCTTTTCCAGTGCGTTGCCCCGCATCTCCCAGTATGATCGCCTAAAATCAGGGAAGATGTAAATTTATGTACATGTATGAAGAATATCTATGTTGTTAAAAGTGACAACTGTGGGGAGGGGCTACCCAAATACAATGAGGTTCAGACACAAACATTCTGATAAACTACGAATAAATAAATAATTTAATTCACAGCATTACTTCTATATCCCAAGGAAGTTAACACAGACCTTATCTCTATTAAACAATCTCATGTTCCCTTTTAATTTGAAGCAGGTCTGGCTCTTTACAAAGATTAGACACAAGATTCCAGTTGTAAAACAGATCAGCTACATTCATGACTTGCACTTCAGCTTTTCTCAAGAGGCAGCTCTAAAAGCAGACATCAGACTGCTACTGTGGCCAGGTGTGCACCACACTTACTCCTGAGGAAGCACAAGTGCCACTAGGATGACTGGATCAGACACCTAACAGAACAATAAAAGCTGGTCCCCATGACAGAGGGGTCAGGCTCCTGGATCATAAAAGCTGCCCACCATTCTGAATGTTTGATCTGAATTTTACCTTCTTAGTACAAATTAAACGTTCAAGCAGTTTCAGGGCTTACTGGGACCAAGACCTTTCTCTACAAAACCTGCCACAGTTGGGTGGGATTCTGTCTGCATGTACACAGCATCTCACAAAAGGACAAGGTCTGGCTTGAGCTGCTTTGGGATTCATTATATTACACATCATCTGAAGTAATTTTATAGGAGAAGTACAATCAATGACACTTTGTTTCTATCTGTAATGATATGAATACTGGTTTTGCTTTTTTAAATTTGACTTTTTCTTTGGCCTGTTTAAAATGGGAAGCAGTAGATTCAGATGAAAAGTAAAAAGAGCCCCCAAAAGGTCACTTGGGTTGTTCTCTTGGTTTCTATTCACGGGGTGGGGGGAGGGACTGAGATGGGGGATGGAAGGTGACTGATTTGTCAAGCTTTTTCCTTCTGAGTCCAAAACTCAGGAGTACCAAATAGGGAAGAAGAGAAAAAGGGTCAGCGTAATACGGGCGAGGCCAGAGACAGACGGAAGAACAAAGTCACTAGAACCAAGAGAGGAGGTGGTATTAAGAAAAGAGTGTCCAAGTATGCTTTCTAGGCTACAGCTGTAAAGAAGGCCAGGAGAGGAAGCAGGAATGTCAAGAGACTAGTTGAGAGATGACTTTTACTATTGGGATATATAACTAAGGTTGAAAACAAATTTTAATGAAGAGTTGAGTTATGCTTAATAATCTTTTGGTCCTTGTAGTGTTATTTAAAGCCTTATGCAATATAAAAAATGTGACCATAAGGGAAAATTATCACTAACTGCTTTGAGTACACATAATCAAATTTTAGCTAGTTTAACCAACTCTTCTTAAACTAGTAGCCCAACATAAATTTTACTTAAAATTACAGCTGACAAAAGTAAAATATTCTTTATTCAGAACTTTAAATGGTGACAAATGTTATCAGAAATAAGAAATGTATTCTCAGATTTCCATTTCTCTTAAACCTGTTTTGTGTAGCATGGTAGCCACCAGCTATATGTGGCTATTTTTGTTTAAATTTAAATTAATGTGCATTAGGAACATTTAAGTACTCAGTATCCACCTCTGCCTAGTGGCTAACCTACAGGATCACACAGACACAGGACATTTCCATTGTCACAAAAGATTCTATTGGGGAATGTTGTCTTATTAGACTTTTTCACATACTTATGCTATGTAATAAAGCATTACATTTTAAATACAGTTGACCCTTGAATACTATGGGTTTGAGATGTATGGGTCCAGTTATATGCAGATTTTTCTCAATAATTATATTGGAAAGTTTTTTGGAGATTTGTGAGAATTTGAAGAACATTTCCTTTTGTCTACTTTAATTATAAGAATATAGCACATAGTACATATAACATACAAAGTATGTTTTGGTCATCTGTTTATGTTATTGGTAAGGCTTCTTTCTGGTCAACAGTAGACTACTAGAGTAAAGTTTTAGGGAGTATATTACATGTGGATTTTTGACTGCATAGGGGTTGGTGTTCCTAACCCCTGCATTTTTCCAGGGTTGACTTTACAATGAAATATCATTTTTCAACAAGCCTAAGATTTCTAAAATTAATATTGCAATTTAATTCAGAATCTTCCCAAGTTTTATTCAATATTTTATTGATAATCTTTATAAAGGAAAGGAAAGTAGCTTGATAATTTCCAAAAAATAATGAAAAACATAGATAAATAATGAGTTCAATGTATAGTTATCGCCCTACCGTATTTCCAGACAACCCAATTTCAAGGCAATGTCCTGGTCCACATGATCAGCTATCTCTAACATATAATCGCTCTTCACCTACAATAAAAAGTTATGAGAAAAATAATGCTGTTTTAAAAGAATACATTTTAGACTTCATCGTTCAATAACTGTTTACTGGGTGCCTTTTACACACTTCATACATACTCTGACAGTAATCATGCTAGATTCTAGACATAAAAATGAGTGATACCAAAAAAATAGTTAAAGAAAACAATGGTTTCCTACCAAGAGAGTTTATATAAGCTATAAGAACTTAAACAAGACTTCAAGAAATAACTAACATCGTCTGAATCACAGTAATGTCAAGCTGTTTTATACTCTTCCCATGCTGTCAAAAGTGAAAACAAGAGAGATCTCCATTTCCAGGCAAATTTGCAGTATATATATTTTCTGAACTCAAACTACAGTCCTAGCAGCACTTTTTGGACTTCAAAGCAGACAATTTACATATTTCCAAATCCACTTAACTCTGCAATGGTCAGGCTTCCACCCAACCATCACCTGTAAGGGATCAGTCTGCAAATAGATGCATGAGTCTAACATAAAGAACCCAGTGGGATTCTGTGAGCGCCTTCCAAGCAGTGATTATGCTCAACCAAAATAACCGATGGGCTGGTACAAGCATTTGTCCCTGTCAGTGTGAAGGCGTTTGCCAAGATGAAATATGTGAATCTCACACGTTTGCATTAGGACAGCAACATCTACAACTGATTTTGATGACAGGAAGCACTCACTTTGAAGCTCAACGAAATGAAATGTCATCCCTCCCCCAAAAAGGAACTCCATTCTTCTCATCAGTACATCTGTATTACAAGAGACTGCACCAAAAAAAATTGTTGTGGAAGTTTATCTTGTTTCTTTTTTGTGTAAGTATTTTATAGTAGCACAGATTTTGTTTCTTGGTCCTCAACCCTAACGTATTTACTCTCTGGCCCTTTATGGAGAAAGTATCTAGACCTCTACTCCAGAAAAAATTCCAAAAATCCTGCTCTTCAACATTTACACTTGCTCAAAAGGTTTCTATTCCCAGTTAATTACACTGGGGGAGTTCATCATTATGACCTTCCCGTTCAAAGACCCCCAAACCCCCTCTCCATCTCCCTTTATTTCAGTCGCCTGGCAAAGCCGTCACACTCTGCAAACAAGCCATACACTCCCCTCCCCACGCTCACTGCCGAGCAACTGGAGGAACTAGAGTACAAGCTTTGCTTTGGATTCATGATGACAAACCTGAAATGGTCAGTTGACACTGTAAAATCAACCAAGATGCCTAGGAAATCTGCCAACACACTGATTCACACTTTCTCCAGTCATTCTGCCACATCTCTTTCTTACAGAGAAAATAAGAGTCTTCAGATGGAAATACTGTCTTTAGCATGCCAGAGCCTAGATAGAGCCTAACATGCATGCATTCACCAGCTCACCTGCTACTTCTGATCTAAATGCCATTGCCTCTCAAAACCTTTGCTTTATTTTCTGCATTAGCACCTAGACCTGGGTGGTCAAGAAATATTTTTTGACTGAATGAGTGAGAAAATGAATAAATGAATAAATAAACAGTCACCAAACCGGGGTTTGGAAACCTCTGTGTGTAAATATTATTTCCCATGTATGACTTACCAGCAGTAATAATTTATATTTTTTACACATAGTAGGCTTTAAGACCAATTTGGTGGATCCACTACACTAAGTAAAAAGCTTTAATCCTAGAATCACTATGCACTTCATTTGGCTCCTTCTCCTATACAGCAAAAAAAAAATTCAAATTTAAAAACTAAGTTTTGCATTATAAGTAGGTTTATTACTGGACACAAAAATGAAGGCACAAGAGTTTAATGAAGACCCGTATTTATATGAGTTAAAGAAATACCACGTGTTGTTCCAATGTAAACACTCAGTGCATCTTAGCTTACATTCTGGTGCAGGCTTAGAAGAAACCAAGCAGAGTATCAATTACATGTTGAGGAAAATGCATCATCACAAAGCTGTCTTAAAGACTAATTGACATAATTCTTAAACACTATTCACAGGTGGGAAAATGTAATTACATGCTTTATTTCATTCATCAAAACCAAATTCATATTAGCTGCAAAAATGAAAAAAGGGAAAATTATAATTAAACAATCTTTATAGAAAATCTTACTTATGAATGTGACTCAAAAGTTCTGAGAATGGTTTTTCCTACAGCAACAAGGTGCTGATGTTGCTTCTCAGAGCTGTGACCACGGCCTGATCATCCATTCAGGGTCTGAGGTGACTTACTATTCTGCCAGGTACACTGGTTCCAGCCAGAAGAAGCCATCCCAACAGATCCTCCCCTCCCCTCCTCCTCACAAGCCCACGGAAGCTTCCCTCTGCAGGTCAGAGGGCAAACCACACCTGAGCACCGAGCGCTAGCAATGCTCTCTGAGCCTTGCTTTTGTACTCAGGCATCTTCCCTCAAGATTCAGGATTCTTTATACTCAGTGTTCATTTCTTTAATAAAACATTTCTTATCTACCTTTCATATCCTACTATCTCCCAGGAAAATCCATTGCTTTCATTTCTGAAATAAATGCAACTTACTGAGTATTTAAGTGTGTTTATGTATGTATAATTGCTTTCAGTATCTATACTCAGTGCCATGTCAGGCAGATTTATACTTAGGATCTCACTGAATCCTTACAGCATCACTGTGAGTTGGACACTACCATCACCCCGATTTATAACTTAGGAGAAGACTAAAAAGAATGAAGATGAGAGCAGAGAAAGTGCCTATTATTTATGGAGTATCCACCAGGGCTAGACAGTATGCCAAGTATTTTACATACTTTATTTATAATCTTTACAGTAACTTTTCAAGGAAGATTTTAGTAGTCCTATTATATACATAAAGCAGAAAGTTAATTTACCCAAGGTCACACTGTAAGTGTTGAAGTTAGGATTCAAAACCACCATTTGTCGCCCCTCCAACTCAGGTTCTTACATGTTGTTATGGCTCCTGAATGGTGTAGACTCTCTCCCTGAAGGAAGGCTGATGATGAGTGGGGACCACATCTCATTGCCCTGGTAACCCCAGGATTAACGAAATGGCTTCTCATGCATTCCCAGTTTTACACTACCATTGTGTTGTATTCTTTTCATGGCTCACCACTGTTCTTTAATTCCAGTCCCAGCAAATTTGCAAGAATTTCAAGAAAAGACCTTTGAAAGTTGTTTTTTTTAATTAATTTGTTTCCATGTTAACTTCCTACTTAAAAAGTAGAATGTAATTGAACTTCTTTCTGTGCCTAAGAACTGTATTTACAAGAGCTTTTCACCCTAACTCTGCAATGGAACTAAGCACAGGTTTTAATATAAACACTGCTCCCATCTCTAACAGAAGGCATTAATCCTCAATTACTCCATACCTCATTCCACACATCAACCCAACGCTTTGGAGTTTTGTGTTTTGTTTTGGTTTCTGAATGCTTTGTCAGCTACACAAATTTGACAGCTAGCCCCAAAAGTCCTGGGTGGTGTGTGTAAAGAAGGCTGAAGGCAGATAAAGGTGACACTGACTGAGCAGATAACCATCCACTGAAAAGTGATCTAAGGCAAGGACTCTCATTTCCAGAACCTACTTCCCTGAGCTTTGTTAGATCAGAGTGGAAAATCTGTATATAGAAGGAACTCAATGGCAGGTCCCAATTAAAATAAACTTTTTAATATTTCTCCTGTACACTTAAGCTATAAAAATATAGAAAGGAGGATTATGCTATCTTAATGAATCATATACTTTTTCCATTATCCATTACAGCATTTAATGTAGCATTTAAGTTATACATTAAAAAAATATTTATCAAATGCCTACCATGTATCAGGATACAACAGTAAATAAAACATATTCATGGAACTTACAGAGAAGTAACAGTGGGAAAATTCGATTTGCAAAGGATTGCTCTGGATGTTACGCTGAGAACAGACTATAAAACAAGAAGACTGCATGACAACAAGTGTCTCCACTGGGTTTTTTTTTTTGCCCACTTACAATGGAAAAGCAACCACAAATTATCCTAGCAATAACTGAAGAATTATATCAACTAAGTGTACACACACACACACAATCTGATTTCTGAAATACCAAAGGCATATAGTTCCATTATTTCTTGGATTTTTTCTTGACATCTTCTGGTAAGTCTCATCAAGACATTTTGAGTAGCAGATATTAATATTAAAACTCAACCCTTACTAATAAGTCATTCAAGAGACTAAACTGTGCACCTAAAACCCATGTCCTCCTGCGCTGGGACAGAACTATGAGGAGGCCGATCTATGTCTGCTCCTGCTGGATGCACACTCATCAGTGGGCACAACAGGCAGCAACACTAAATATGATGTGCAGAGGACAGAGCAGTGGTTGCCAACAGGTTTGGGATGGGGAAAGAGTGTGATTAGAAGGCAACAGGGAGTTTCTGTGTTGACGGGACAGTGCTGTCTTGATTATGGTGTGGTTATATGCATCTAGATCTGTGATAAAGTTGCGTGTGCACACACACACACACTGTATATAAAAAGCGATGAAATCTGAAAATGGCCTGCAGTCTATTTAACAGTATGCAAATGTCAATTTCTCTATTTTTATACTGTACTTTCTCATGACTGTGATGGAAATTACTTGATTATATACATTTGTCAGAACTCACTGAACTGTACATTAAAATTGGTGATTTTTATTGTATGTAAAATTATACTTCAATAAAACAAATTTTAAAGTATGACAATATGTGTATATGTTATATGGGAAATGAGCAGTGCTTTGAAAAAACTTTATAGAGAAAACACCATTTAAAATTATGAGTTAATGACTGAGTAGAAATTATCTAGGTCTAGGAAAGGAAAGGGGAGTTATGCAGAAAAATGTTAACTCAGCAGGCTTGGGCGGCTCAAATCCTGCACATTCCAAAGAAGGCCTGTGTTTATGACTGGCCCTTAGCCTCTCAGAAACTGAACTCCTGCAACATTCTATCTGATAAAGAGTGACTTTGCATACCTAAAACCTTGGACCACACTGTACCATTCTGACCAGATAATTTATT